ACGTCCCACCTCCATCCCCACGTCCCCCCCTCCATCCCCACGTCCCATCCCCACGTACCCACCACCATCTCCTCATCCCCATCTCCACGTCCCACCACCATCTCCTCAGCCCCACCACCAGCTCCTCAGATCCACCACCATCTCCACATCCCATCTCCATGTCCCCACCACCATCTCCTCGTCCCCACCACCATCCCCTCATCCCCATCCCCACGTCCCACTCCTTCCTCTCGTAGGCCGTGTTGATGTTGGGGGGCAGCCCCACCCAGAAGTGGCCGATGGGCAGGGGGTACCCGTCCATCACCCGCCGGTCCCTCACGCGCCAGAACCACCGCTCCTGCCGGGGGGACAACCTCGGGTCACCACCCCCCGACCACCTCCAGCCCCACAGATCCACCATCTCCATCCCCACAGCTCCATCTTCTCCATCTTCTCCATCATCTCCATCATCTCCAGCCCCACAGCTCCATCATCTCATCTCCAGCCCCACAGCTCCACCATCTCATCTCCAGCCCCATATCTCCACCATCTCCATCATCTCCAGCCCCACAGCTCCACCATCTCATCTCCAGCTCCACAGGTCCATCATCTCCATCATCTCCAGCCCCACAGCTCCAGCATCTCCATCATCTCCAGCCCCACGTCTCCATCATCTCCATCATCTCCAGCCCCACAGCTCCATCATCTCCATCATCTCCAGCCCCACAGCTCCACCATCTCCAGCCCCACAGCTCCACCATCTCCACCATCTCCATCATCTCCACCATCTCCACCATCTCCAGCCCCACATCTCCACCACCTCCAGACCCACATCTCCACCACCTCCAGCCCCACATCTCCATCATCTCCATCATCTCCAGCCCCACATCTCCACCATCTCCAGATCCATGTCTCCATCATCTCCAGCCCCACAGCTCCATCTCCATCCAGTTCTGCTCCCCATCCCCTTGTCCCCACCTCCAGCTCCACGTCTCCATCATCTCCAGCCCCACATCTCCACCATCTCCAGCCCCACGTCTCCACCATCTCCAGCCCCACGTCTCCACCATCTCCAGCCCCACGTCCCCACCTTGAAGACGAACATCTCCCCCCTCAGCATGGCGATGGTGTCGAAGTTGCCGTCGCAGATGCGGGGGCCGTAGGGGGGCCCGGGGGGGCGGTCGGGGCTACGGGGCCGGGGGGT